GTATGACAGGAAGTCTGTGATGTTGTAAACCGAGTTATGTGATTGCCGACTTACACCGTCGATATGCTGAACGTTTGGTTAGGTACATGAACCGAAAGTTTGGTTTGACAAACTGAATATTTGGGATGATGAGGGAAACCGAACGTTTGGTTCACATGACCGAATTTTTTTTTCAGTGTGTCGTCCTGAAGTAGAATGCAGTACGTACAAACACTGTAAGTAATTATTCTAAAGGTTCCCAAAGCATAAAGGTGTCACGTCGATTGCTAAAGTCGAAAATTTCACGGAATTTAAAGTCTTCAAATGATTAAACCTTAATTCAAACCTTAGTTCAAACCTTATATTTTTCACTCATGTTTTCCTTTGAGATTGATTAATTGCACATGAAACAATTCTCAGTGACCGGCATGTACTAAGATGGAGTTTTTTTCACCCGGTTAACAAGTCAATTGAATATTTTTATCTTTAAAATTTCTCGCAAGAATACTCCTAGCACACTGTACCGTATGATAACTTGTTAGCATGGTGCCAATTTGAATCATCATCATTTGTCAATGTTGAATCTGCATTTATTTTACGGAAAATCGCAATACCCGTAGCATTCACTGAGCCAATGACAGCAACTAGTACGTTAAAATAATCAGCAATGACGAGTTCAATAGTCGATAATGAATTACACCAAATGTTTGATTAATGGTCTCTAAACATACGAGATTTTATAGGATATTTCGTTCTGATGATGCCCCAACAATACTTCTCCTTCTTTACACAACTTCATGCTTACTCAAAATTTATTTATACTTTTTTTAATGTCCTGTAATGCACAACTGCACTCACTAGTACAATGACCCGAGTTTGTTTATTCATACGCATTCGCATTAGAAGATTGTTTACGAATGCTGCCCTTGAGGGCATCCAGAAAATTGCAAATGAGTGATTAATTTATTACTTACAGCAAGGCAGTGCAACTGGACTTTTTTTTTTTTTTTTTTTTTTTTTTTTTTTTAAATAGGAGGGGGCTAGTTTATCTATTTAACACCGAGCCTGACTGAAAAATGGTGTCCGACCAAAAATTTCAAGCTGCACGGTTGGCTTGTTTCCCTTGAACAAATTGAAACGAGCAGAAATTTCAAAACTCCGCGATGGAGATAAGTGGTTTAGCACTTTACACATGGTGTGTAATGTATTTCGTCTATACCCAATTTTTTTTTATTCACTGAAGAAAAAAATTTGGTCATATGAACCAAACATTCGGTGTTCCATATCATCCCAAATATTGAGTTTGTCAAACTAAACTTTCGGTTTGTGTCACCGAAGATTCGGCAAGTGTGACCAAACATGATTCGTCAGTTCACTTTAGTGCGGTTACACGTACCGAAAGTTCAGTTTGACGAACCGAATTAGTGGGGATGATATGGAACACCGAACATTGGTACATGCGACCGAACTTTGCACTGGAAAAAAAAAACACAATGGATGTAGAGTCCAGACTCTTAAAAACATCGACAAGAAAAAATACTCTTCATTCAATCGGATTTTTTATTAAATCAAGAACCAAGCCCTAATTTGGGCGGATTTCCTTTTGATTTAAGCAAAAATCTGATTGAATCAAGAGTATTTTTTCTTGTCAATGTTTTCAAGAGTCTGGACTCTAGATTCAATGTGTTTTTTTTTCCAGTGTGGTACATACGACCAAACTTTTTTTTCAGTGTGTTTATTTTTTTTAGCAAATTGACAACACGGCTTAAAATTTGAAAAGACGTCGATTTGGCCCCCCTCCCGTCCCGTGCGACGTGACGCGCCACGAGACTGGGGCATGGAATTTGAGTCGCGGGGCGGGGGGATTCGGGGCGGGGGGACGGGGGTGCGGGTGGGCCGTGATTTGACCTTGCTCTGAAACAAGATACGGGATCCGGGCCATTTGTCGTGTCGTGGCAGCTTGGCACCTTCCGATTTCATGTAACTTTCACCCAACCCTATCAATCTCGGCTCCACGGGACGACCAAAGGGATTGACGTGTTATCCGCCGATGTCAGTTTTAGCGGAAACGCCACGGGAACACGGCGAAATCAACACTGGAAAAAAAAAAAACACATTGGATCTAGAGTCCAGACCCTTAAAACATCGACAAGAAAAAGTACTCTCGATTCAATCAGAATCTAGCTTAAATCAAGAACCAAGCCTCTTAATTTAAGCGGATTTCGCGGAACAAGTTTTGGATTGGGTAGTACCTGACGAAGAGATGTTGCGTTGTCAGGTGCCCGATGACCTCTGGGAAGATAGACACATGTGGCGTTTAGGTGTCGCAGAACGCTCGAGTACGTTGTACAAGCGACTTTACTGTGTTATGTACGTGTTAAAAATTGGCTTTTATGTATCAGGGATGTCATTCGCACTGAGAACAAAATTTGTTTATCAAAAATAAATCTTGACAATCTTGACGAACGAAATTTGCCTGCTGGCCGGGTGGCGGAATTCCGTGAAAAATAAAATTGTTGAGTTTTAAATGAACTATATCATGATTTTTCAAAAATATATGCTTGATAGATTGAAAGAAACTTCTCAGATCGCGGATAATCATTTCGAGCTGAAGAAACAATTTTTCAAACCAAAACAAATCTATCCTCAAAAAACACCCCGGAGAGACTCTTAACTTTTATGATTGTGCTGTTTGTGTGCCTGAATTGGGAGTTTAACGGAGTATCTAACAACTTATATCCGAGAATTCTAATTCCATTTTTTAGAAAGTTAGGATGATTCATTTTTGCAAGTTGAGTCCTAGAATCTCTCCTATTTCTAGCTTTAACTTCGATTTGTATCCAACAAAATACCTCGAAAGTGTGTAGATTTTAGCGGACAACCTAGCAACAATGCAGAGGCCCTTGAATTATGTGTTGATCGCCTGTTGCCATACTCTGGAGATGCAACCAGACGGTAAACTGTACAATGGTGCCAATTTTAGCTGCTCTTATAGTTTCAGAAATAACTAGGCAGCTAGAAAACTATTTCCGGTATTTCATTTTTTTTTCATAATGGGGTTCATCCTAAAAAAACTACATAAATTGATGAGAATATTCTAAAAATATCCGCAGTAGAGGCTGAGAAAGATTTCGAGTTGAACTTTGTTAACCATACACAATAATTTTAATACTGCCCTAAACCTAGTTCTAAGTTGAGTGTAACTAAATGTAGTATTGCACTCATCCTAATTTAAGTTAGTGGCATGAGATAATGCATTTATACGAACTCATTTACCGGGTGAAGATCGCATAATAATTGACAAAGCAGACTTTTTCTCAGTTTGGTAGTTTGGCTCGATGCCTACAGTTTCAGCCAAGTAGCTAAGTGTTCCAGGGTGACGTCATCACGGCTGTTCGTTTGTCTGCGATTCACATCGACCGTTTTCGACGAAGGTACTAAAAAACCTGCGTTAACACTATGCAATTTTCTGTCAAAATCTTTTTTTGCGTGTTTTAAAAACGTTAAACGTCTGAGTTCCATGACCAAGCTACGATTTGAAAGTCAAATTCCTACGATTTGTTACGTCGTAACTTTGCTTACGATCTAATTGTTGTATTTTTTAAAAGGAAAAATTCGGCATTCTAGGTATTTTAGTTTCGTCCAAAAGTTTCGCAATCTGTGTATAATTTTTACTATCCTTTCATGAATGAGTAAGAACATAAGAGCACAACCATTCATACTGCTGTATCTTATATAGATTCAGAGCAATTCTGCCGTGGTAAGGAAGAACGCCGTATGAACATTCGAGAGTTGCCAAATTTCCGAGAATAAAGCATGTATTTTTGAGGAATTTTGTGCATATTTCGCTTTGAAATTTTCAGATATTTTAGATCAAATTGCGTGCAAACTTGTCTGAAAATTTTAGAAAGTAATATTCGCAATTTGCCAAGTAAATTCGGTTTTTTTCGGAGGAAACTTGGCAACGTCTGACCGCTCATACGGCGTTCTTCCTCAGTACGGCAGAATAAACGAAAGCGAGCAGCACCAGTTCAACTTTAACATACATATAATGCTACGGGAAACATTGCCATACACACCAGAAACACCCCTAAAAATGACTATACTATGATTCACATCGTCCACGGTGTGACGTTGTGTTGATGACGATACTGACTGTTCGTGTTTGACGGATGTGCCTACGGCATATCCAAAAAATGAAAAGGGCATTGCCATGTTGTGGATGCAACTAATCCTGCTTAAGGGTCGTTTATTTTGCATATCTTAAGAAATGAAGGCACACAGCCACGGCTCAAATCCAAATCCAGCGGATTTTTCTGGAATATCTGCGTCAAAACTACAAAACCACGCAGCTTTTGTGACGTGGCAGATGTGCAGACACTTTTACGTTTTTGACGGATGACGGATGATCATGGTCACTGGAGGAAATTTCCTTTGATTTTTTCCACTCTTCAAAAATAATTTTTGTAAATTTGGCACATGCGAGTAAATTTTCAGTAATACTTTCCTGAAGAAATAAAGGACGATTGGAGATTTTGAAGCACTAAAATCGAAGTATTTGTTTTTGTAATTTCACCGTTGATGTGTACTTTGGATGTATGTAGAAACGAAAACAGACAGGTACGAGGGGGAGCTAAAATATGACAGGAAAAAAGGATTTTGACTTTTCTTGATACTTAATAAATATCGACGGTGAAACTACCAAACCACGTATCTCGGTTTGCGACGTCGCAGACTTCCTGTCATACTTCATTTTTTAAATGAAAAACTACTTAACGTCCAGTCTTGAAAATTTCTGTGATTTTTTCTCTTCGTGCGGAGAAAATTCTGTGAAAATTTCAAGGAATGATATTGATTTGGTCTACTTAAAAAAAATAAAATGCGAGCGTAGATTTTTAAACACCGCAAACGAGATACGTGGTTTGGTAGTTTCACCGTCGATATGTAACTTTGAATCGCATCAAAGTTTTTTAATGACTTTTTTCCGCTGCTCTTCTGACGATACCGTTTTCTGTTCCCAGTTTTCGAAACAATCTGTGATAGAATCGTACACAGCATTTATAAAAAATTGGAAGTCTGCGCGAGAGACGATCAAAAGTACCTGCCAGTCGGAGCCAGCGTTTGCAAGGTTTCTTGAGGTAAGGAATTTAAAAAAGTTAAGAACATCAAAGGAAACAGCAAGAACATTTTCTTCACCAAAAGAGTTCTGAATCCTTACAGTCTAATCATCCGAGGAAAATTAACTCTAGCATGACAGGCTTGGGCCTTTTGAACTTGACATGAAGACTTTTGGGGAAAAAAATCCATGTCCAATAACTTAAAACCTCTGAAATATACCTGATGGCGGACAGAAACGTGTTAGAAATTAGAAAAAAAAGAAAATGAGGAAGAAGAGGTGGAAGAAATGGGAGGAGAATAGGAGGAGAAAATTCCTTCCTTTTGCAAAATTTCCTTTTCCTTTTTGCAAAATGCAATCCATACATATATTTGTCCAAAACTCTTTTTGTGTTGTCTACAAGACCTAAGATGAGGGGATAGGGTTACTTTATGATACTGGAGCATGCATAATAGATAATTTTTCCTTTTTCATAGTATTAGTTCAAATGATAATCTAAAATGCTCAACGGAGTTATGCTTATCTAGAACGAGCCCTACCCACTTGAGTAATTTGCTCTAAATCGATCAGGTTGTCCCGTTGCAATTTTATTAACGTTTTACTCTCTTTAGAGTCCCGCCAAGCAGTCTCGATCACCCCCGAGACCTCGTAAAAAAGAGCCATAAATGTTGTTTACCTTATAAATCGTCGAGCGAATCGTAAAAAATAGATGAGCTGAGGCAAGAACAATATTTCTGAATGGAAGACCATGCGTGTCTTGCAAGCTCGAGGCAAAATGCACTGGGTCAACGAATTTGTCAAGTTGACGTACTAAGGAAGAACTCCGTATCTTCACCCAGAAATCACCACATTTTTCTCTAATAAAATATCAATTTTCGAAATATTTATGAATCTTTTTCCTCGACTAGCACTTCAAATTAAATGGACCACTAGACAAGGTACGAATTTAAGCAATCTGATACATGTTCCCTAGCCAGAATTTCACGTAAAACACGATTCGCGCAACGAAAATTACTGAAACCAACTCCTAACGAAGATATTAACGTTTTCATTTCACACTGGTTACGAGGAATTTGAACTGCCCGCTCACAAGAAACTCAAAGCTCTACGTGAGTCAAATCGCGCTCTACAACGGTTTAAGCAAGCTTCTCAGTCGAGCAATGTTCATTTCCCACCATGTGTTGTTCAAACTATAAACAACTTGCTATAGCTGAGCCAAAGCGTCAAGATTGAGGTTGCCAGATTTTTAAATCGCAGATACTGTCATGATAACGTTTAGCGCGCGATGTGAATCATGTAGAGCATTGAGTTTTCATGAGCGGGTGGTTTGAATTTACGTATCAAGAATCATTAAATATCTTCGTAAGCGGTTGATTTCGGCTATTTTCGTTGTGCGTATCGTGTTTTACGTGGATTTTGGTGAAAAAGCATGAATCAGAATGCTGAAATTCGTACCTTGTCTAGTGGTCCATTTTCGAAATATTTATGAATCTTTTCCCTTGACTAGCACTCCAAATTAAATTATGAATGCACGTCTGGGAATTAGTTAACGGAAAAGTTACTCAAGTTACCCGGTAAATTCGGGGTTTATCGGTATAACGTCGGCTTTTTACTTTTATAATAACGCTCGTATTCTTTTCATTACAGACGATGGCTCGGGAGCATAAAGGAAAGTTAGCTCTGGATTCTCTTTTTATCATGCCCGTTCAACGAATTCCTCGCTACGAATTATTGATTCAGGTATGTCTGTATTTTTTTACCGAGAAAAATCAAGTAAAGTAGATTAGATGTGTTAGAAAAGCAATTATTTCAGGAGGTTAAAATACCCGAAAAATAAACACTCGTGTGTGAGCAGAGAGGGAATGAACCGTAATTTCTTCACAAGAATCGAAAGTATTGCATGCCCTCTAAAAACACAATGAAGCTATCTGAATGCTGTTTCGAAGGTTTTCTTAGAGCGTATGATTTAAACTTTCAGATTAACGATTTTGCCTTTAGAAATAATCGAAAAAATACTTTTACGTAAGCAAGTTGGGTTTTGTTCGAATAGGCAACGAAACTAACTGCATGACAATGCTTGTGGTATCATGGAAAAGTGGATGATTTCCAAGTCCGTGATTTTGAGGACTTTGGCCAATGAAAAAATAGAGAGGGGCTCATCAAAAACTTCCGCTCAACGAATGGGCTTTTTTAAAACATCGCCAATTTAGATGTGACTGCTTTTAATAGTACTATGAATTTTTTTAGGTTTTTAAGCTTAGTCGGTTTTATACATATCGACGGTGTAAGTCGGCAATCACATAACTCGTTTACGGTTTCTGAAAATCTCCGCCTCTGAGTTATTTTTTTAAAGGAGAACAAATTGACATCATTCCTTGAAGTTTTTGCAGAATTTTCTTCGCATTGAGAAGAAAAATCACGGCAGTTTTAAAGAATTGTTGTTGAGTGGTTTTCCGCTTAAAAAATAAAATATGACAGGTAGTCTGCGACGTCGCAAACCTAGTTATGTGATTGCCGACTTTCACCGTCAATATGCCTATCCTTGGAATGTAAAAATGGAACCATCCACGTACCTTTTTACAGAATCTACCGAATAGATTTTCAATTTTTTTTTTTTTTTTTTTTTTTTTTTTTTTTTGTGCCAGATTCCCTAGAACATATTCTTTAATTAGACTCACAATCTTTTCAATTCATTAAAAATTTGAATTTTAGCAGATTTGTTTTATTCATTTTAACATTTAAAATTTGAAGAAGACTAATTAAATATTATAACAAATCTATTAAAATTCGAATTTTTCTTAAATCAAAGAGATTACACGTCAAATGAAAGAAGACGTCCTAAGGAATAAAAAAACAAATTGAAAGTCCATGCAGTAAATCCTGAGAAAAAGATACATGAAGTCGTTGAATTTTTACATCTCGGGTATAGGCAAACGCGACTCTTCTAAAGTCGTCGATTCCCCGACAAAAGAGAGTAGCTCCATTCCAAGGTTGCAAAATTGACTAAAAAATGTAATTTTTTGGACAATTGTACCTGCGCAACTTTCGTCCAACATTTTTCTGATTTTTACCTGAGATCAGAAGAAAAATCAGTGCAAGTGATCAGGTACAAGGAAAATCAGTTTTCAGTAGGCAATCATTTTCAGTTTGAAATTTTCAAGATTCTCCTGGCAAAAATTCAATTTTCCAGGGAATTTTTGACGATGTGGACATGTAGTTACGAGCTTTTTTAAGGGACACGAAATAATATGTAACTTTTAACTAAAACGTGTGCGCTTTTTCCGTACAGACCCTGCTGAAACACACGGAGGAATCACACCCGGACTTCTCGACGTTGCTGGAGGCCCAAAAGGCTGTGCATGCGCTTGCGGTGCATATCAACTGCATGGAGCGGGACAGCCTGGAGCTGGAGCAAATCGAGCGGCTCATCGAAGGTCTGGGCCACCTGGTCGCCGCCGATAGGACGTTCCTGCGACACGATCTCGTTACAATGGCTGTTTCTGCTCAGAGCCTCGGCCGCAAGGAAAGAGCTCTCTTTCTCTTCTCTGATCTCCTAGTTATCACAAGTATCAAAAGGAAAAGCGGGACTGCTAGGAAAATGGCAACGTGAGTATCATTCACGGAACAACTGGACGTATATGCGAAATGGAACTATGTGCAGGTGGAGAGATGGGGCGTGCTCGTTAGTGCTCGGGCCATGAGAATGAATGGGTCTTTAAAAGCGCCAGTGACGTCAGCGGTAAGGACCGGGCGTGACGAGGCGCGACACGAGCAACGATGACACTGAAAAAAAAATCTCTGTGTATTTACCAAGAAAAGGGTAAAATTACCAAGAATTTAGGTTTCTATCGCAGTTTTTTCTTGGTAAAATTACCATTTATGGAATTGGTAATTTTACCGAGAAATCTCGGTAAAATTATTGAACTATCTCGGTAATATTACTGAACCTTGGTAAAAACGCCAATATTTTTTATCGACTGTGGTAGAATTACCGAGATAAAATGGCAAAGTTACCAAGAATTGATTACCAATAAGAGTGGTACTCTTACCTGGAAAAAACAGTAAAAATACCGGTTTTTAGGTAAGCTTATCAGTCTGTCTTGGTAAAATTACCAATAATTGGTAAAAAAAAGTGAGATGGTAAAGGTACCAACGGACCTTCGTAAAGACGCCGAGAATTTTTTTTCAGTGGACGACTAGGTCGTCAGTCTTTAACTCATGAGCCCTGTACACAACGCTCTTGTCACATGCCCACGGCTCACAAGTTAGCGCTCAGTTCCTTTTGCTTTAATTGAAAATCCCGCTTTTCCATTTTCTCAAAAGGAACAATATCCGCTTTTGCATTATTTCTTATGGAGCTTCCACGAGCAGTACGAACACACCCCATCTTTCCACTTCCACATAGTTCCTTTCAGCATAAATACGTCTAACTAAGGTGTCTTCGCTGGACCAGAGAACCATCCCCAGAGAACCGCCTAGTGGCAACATAACATCTGTATATTTTAGGATTTATCTAAAGAGCTGAGGAGCTAAAGAGCTTATCCGAGGAAATGAGGGAGTGTCAACTCCCTGAGGGGCTTTGGGAGGAAAGAGGACTTTGGCAGCTAGGAGTCGCTGAAGAAAGCGCTGTAAAAGCGGCTCTTAAGTGTGTATCTAAAGAGCTCATCTTGATAAAAGCACGGAAATAATTGTGGTACTATCCCAATTTGTCGGATGATATGGGTATTTCCAATTAATTTTGTCAGTAACGCAACTCAAGTTGGGGTAGTGAGTACTGCAAAATTTGGGTTAGTAACCTAACTTATTGGGATACTGCGGCTGTGCGAGAGTCATGGAAAGAGAAGAAACCTCCACGAAGGGAAAAGTATTCTCTCCGGAGAGGCAACTATTTTCTCCGGAGAGAAAAATATTCTCTCTCGAGAGAAAAGTATTCGTTCGAGAGAGAAAAGTATTCCCTCGGGAGAGAAAAGTATTCTCTCTGGATACAATCAATTGGAATTGTCCAAGTTGGGACATAACCTCTACCTCTTTTTTCCGTAGCGTAATCAGATATATAAATGTGCGGTCGGGTAACGGCTCATTTACTGATCACGAAATTGATGATATTAAGTAACCTTACTGTGGTCACAAATATTCTGAGGAGGGGGGAGGACGCCCCAGCGTAACTATCCTATCAACGGTCATGGATCTAGAGAATGTTTTCAGAAACTAAAAAAACATAGACATCGATCCGGTAGATTTGTAAAAATCATCATGATATAGTAATAGTGTGATTAGTTATCTTAGTAGTTTACTTGATTTTCGGCACGGTGATATTTTTGGCAAAGGTAACCACACGCCTGCTAGCAGATTTTAACAATAAAAGAAGGTGGTAAGCAGAACTTTGGTTGCTTTCACCAGGAGTACCATGCACTGATTAAAAATTTAAGGAAACATGTGGTGGAACTTACCATAAGTTTTTCTGTGAGCATGGGTAGAACTAATAATTTTTTTTCTTCAGAGGCACTATGTGATGAGAATCCAACAAATTGGTTCGGATTACCTCTCCCTAGCTTTAAAGCTCTCTACGAAGTTATCATACAAAATTGTGAGTATTGAAAAGCCACGGGAACAATTTTGACCGGTTTCGATCGAAAAATTAATTTTTATGTTTTTGGAACCATGACAAAGCTATAGCAAAGTTATTTCGTAAAAATATCTTTCAAGTATTGATCGAGTTTACTTCATTTACATCTGAAAAGTAAGTGACAATTTCCGTTATTTTTCACGATTTCTAATGATTTTATTTTTTCTGTTTTAGTACCAGTCCTGAAAGTGTCACAAGTTCTTTTGAGGCTAACAAATATAAACTATTGACCAAAATTCCATTAGAAAATATAGAAGTTGTAAAAAGTAAGTGTTAAAGATTTTTTTAAATTTTAAACAAACCCCAGAGGAATGATCACTTAAGAGCGTGCATGGATAATTTTCACCAGAATCGATCCAACTGCATCATAGGTTGCCTGATTGCCTCACATATTTTATTTTTTAACAGAAAACAAACCAATATTCTGCTCTGTCAAATTTTTCGTATATAAAGACAGACAAATACACAGCTATGACGAATAAAATTGACTGTGCCGCCAAGAAAACTTACGATAAAATACTAAAAGGAAAACAGAGTTTATCAGGCACGATCATACACTTATTTGTTGCAACCCTTATTTTCCTAAACGCAGTAAGAAACTGCGCCGAATTGAAACCCCGTTTTTTCAGGAATGTCGAATACGACTTTTCTAAGCTTATATGTAGACTAATCAATTTGTTTTGTTTTGTTTCAGTTAAGGATAAGAGTTTAAGACGTATGCTTTGGGAAATAGAAAATTTGACTAAAGATATTTCCACTCTGTCGCAAATGTCGAATCTAGTCTCAACTTTACATTGTTCTCATCTGCAGCTGGAAAGCTCGATACGAGATATGTTGTCAGCTTTAAACAAACAACTAGCGGATCGTCAAGCCAGTGATTCTCAACTCTCATATTTAGAATTAATTTTACATACTAGGTTAGTTTTTACCGTAATGACAGCTCCAAAAAAGTCATGTTTAATTATGTCCAAGGCACTGGATTTCATACTTTTTAGTCGCAATTTTCCCTCTTGGCTTGTCCTCTGGTGTTTCTGATAAAAACCTACTGAAGTCGGTAGTTACGGTGGACTTTAGGGCGTAAAAAATTCGGATAACAGACATTAGATCCATTAAATTTTAGATTGTAGCCAACCAAATTAGTTTTAACCAGTGCTCAGTCCTATTTTCCCTTTATTTCTTGGGGAAAAAAGTTGAAACTCTTGTTATTTCCCTGGTAAAAATTGGCGGTAGAATCTGTGTTCCAAAATACCATAGACCTACGGCCGGCTGTAAGATTTCCAATAGCCTCTTTAGCCGGCTACACAATTTCTTATAGCCTTTTATAGCCGAATTGAGCAACTCACAGTCAGGCGATAAGTGTATAAACGTCACTAATTACGGATGCTAGGACTTAGTGAGTTTTTGGACCACTGCTCTCTTTTTGGGTCGTAGTATCTTGATTTATTTTGCGAGGAAAGCTCCGTACTTTTGATGGATGCCTGCCATTCCTAATATGTTGGAGAGCCTTCAATTTCGTATGATACTGTGCAATACCTCTGGTGTGAAATAGTTGCTTCAAGCGCCGTGGCACGCTGCGGTGCGGCAGGAGGGCAGCCAGCGCGAAACGCGCATTGGCGCCTACAAACCTAACAGGGATACTTCACGCGTTGCGCAATGCGTGAAGTATCTCTGTTAGGTTTGTAGGCGCCAGTGCGTCGCCGCTCCGCTTTTTGATAGGTTCTAATATTTAATCTGGCGGAGCCAGCGTTATTCAACTCATGATTTTGAAATGTTTGCACATCCTTTATGGATTATTCTCGTTATAATTGATGAAAAAAATACGTATTAAAGGAAAACATAACGTGTGTTTTGTAAATATTAATATGGTCCCGTATCAAACTTAATGATTTCCAAAGCACACGAATTTCTACACAATTTCTTATAGCCTTTCATAATCGATGGCGAAAAAGCAACAGCCAGGCGATTAAGTGTAAAGCCCGGCTATAAGAACTGTAGCCCAGCTGCATAATTTTTTATCGCTTCGTATAGCCCGGCCGTATGATTTTCTCCGCATTCTACAGCCAGCTATATGATTTTCTGTAGCCTTCTTTAGACGGCTATAAGAATTCCTATGGTATTTTGAAACGCAGCTCTTATCGCAAATTTTTACCAGGGTTGGAATATCCCTCTTCGAAAAATCTGTAACTGGAGTCTCAATTTGCTATTTATTTCTTGATCGAAGATACCCCTCAGGTTGCATTAATTATAGACACCAATTCCATCTTAATTTTATCTAAAAATTATTTTCATTGCTTTCGACAGAAATGGATCCGAGAATGTGTCAATTGCCTTTTCAAAGCCTGAAGAACGAGCAAGCTGGGAAGGAACGTTCAATGAAGCCAAGCAAAGATTATGTAAGTATACTTTTAAAACCTGCAATAATTCCTCTGCAACCTATTTTTGCTAAAAAAGAGAAAGTCAAAATTTGAACTAAATCTCCCTCGCAGGGAATAGTAGTAACCATATTTTTACGCACCGGCATTAATAGGGAAAACATGTTGCTCCGATTTTTTCAAGTTTCATTTTTAGAATTTTTTGTGGACCCGACTTTGATTTGAAATACTTCGAAATAACCGCTGCCTGAGAAGGTTCATTTTCATTTCGTTGGGCCCTACAAGTTTGATGTCCATTAACAACTTGTTTGGAGTTTACCCTTACACTCATGTCATATGGACGCACAAAAAATATAAATACGTGATTTGGTCTAAATTTTTCCTATTTGTTGCTCGTGTTCCCTATGTAACACAATAACATAACATTTTTGAAGGAAAGAAAAACGGAAGAAGAACGCATAGTACTGACGTATTTTATGAATTAATTCACAAAATATCTCCGAGAGAGCTAGTAAGTAAGCCCAATGCTCGATACAGACACTTGAATGCAACTTTCCCTGCTCAAAGGATGCCCCTATTGCATATCTAAACAACGGAAGGCGCTTTGGTGTCTTTAGTCAACTAACTAGAGAAATGCATCTCGCGTGCTATTATTAATTAAGAAATGGATTACACTTCGCTAAAAGGAACCAACGCGATTACAGTGTTTTCAAAATCATGCAGCTTGTTCTTTTCTTTTAAACATATTTGGACGGAGTTAAACAGAAAGGAACCAAGCCACATCGGGATCGAACCGAGAAAAAGAGGTTTAAAGTTTGGCTCCTGCATAAGACTCAATGGAAAAGATAAACTTCAAATTCTGTTTCTGCAAAATTTGCTCCAACAAAAACTTTGAATTTTTTGGCGATAGATAGTAGAGCAGTGGTTGAGTTCAAAACCACTCATAACTCAATTTTTTCCAAAATGTGGGTTGGTTCCTTTCTGCTTAACTCAGTCCATTTAATGTGTTTTTGAATTAACACAATTACTTTCCATTAAAATTAACAATTATTTGGTTCGAAGTGAAAATTATTCGCAATTCTGGGAAATTTTCAAGATAATTATGAAGAAGGAACATTTTTACAACACTGTAATCGCGCTGGTTTCTTTTTGTTGAATGCGATCCAAATGAGTAGAAAGTTCACCAAAACACGCATTCTCTATGCATTATAATTTATTCATGATGATTTTTTTAATCCCGCCACTTGGATGGAATTATATAGCGATGAGATCAAAGTGTATTTCCGATAAGAATTTTACTAATTTCTAGTATTTCATCTTGCAGCCGTATCCGCAGAGAAGAAATCGACTCCTGAGTTTGTGATACCCCTCCAGATCAGGAAGACCCGGGCCGGTCTCCAGTTCACGTGTGCTGCGCCGTCGGCGTGTCAGAAAGATGTTTGGGTTTGCAATAGTGACGGTTACATCGGTCAAGTCTGCAGGCTGAGCCTCTACCCGAAACCCACCGTCTCCCAGTGCATTCCAGTCCACAGCGCGCGCATTCTCTGCATCACTGCGGTACCTGCAATCTCCAAAAATAGGTGAGAACGAAGTGTCATTCATTACCTAGGGTAGAGATCATATACAGGGAGAGCTCAGACATGTCGAAGTATGAAGCTTTCAGGGCCCAAAAGGGCAGCCAACCTTGTAGCATGAAAAACACCATAAAAAGCTGCTTTCATTGTCAAACTAAGATGGCCAATCGCAAAAATGAGTGAATTCATGCAAAAGTTAAGTCAAGTACATCCTTCACAAATAAAGGGTTGTTACAATATTGATAATATACCATTCTGTATAATTCGGGTTCATAGGATGAGATAAAAAAACAAAGATAGAAAAAGAAGATGAAGGATGTAAAAATAATCTGATCTAATAAGCTGATCTAATTTTTGAAATATTCATGTGCTCTATATTTTTGTGAGGTTTTACCCCAAAAAGCGTTATTGTAGACACCTACACCACCCTATCTAAAAGTGTTTTAGTGTGCAAAATAAGCGATATTCATGATCATGTTTTTTTTCCAGAGAGGAAGATCAGGGCAATAGAGGAAGTACATCCGTTAGCATATCGGTTGAAGATATAGACCAAGGAGGCAATATTCATCTAGACAGGTAAACTTTCAAGTGCAATGGCCATAATAATATCGAGGTTTTAGTCGGTCCAGGTAAAACTTCGCTCATTGTATACTTTAAATGAGAGTTGGAGCTCATTTATGCATCAGTATTGAGTCTAAAGCCAATTTTTGTAAAAAGTCTACTTTTCCAATTTTGAAAGTGCCTATCTCAAATTACAAAAATATCATCTTCCTGTGCCATCATTCAGCCGTGTTCGGTGAAAGAACTGCGCTTGATGAAAGAAGGCATGACTAAGATACAACTTGTCAGAGATGTCTGCGAATCTTTCTTTGAAACTAACTCGATGGCTCGTCAAATGGACTACATTTTGCAATTGGGAACTATAAATTCTAGCCCGGTTTAAAAACAATGTATGTGTCATAAGTTTCCCTATGTACATAAGTGTTTTTCCAGAAGAGCTAGAATTTATAGTTCCAAATTGCAAAATGCACTTTCAATACCGTTAGGGGCTTACACAAGTTAAAGTTCCTTAAAAACACAAAGACAATTTTTGGTAAAAACACACTCAACACTCACAAAATTTTTTTTTTAAAAATAACGGGACGCGTTTCGGGACCTTAGCTCCTATCATCAGCCGCGAAATGTTTTTACGCAAGTGAGTGTGTTTTTACCAAAAATTGTCTGTGTGTTTTTATGCAAAATGCAGTCCAAATAACCTCAATCGACACCGTAGGGATTTGTGAACCACATACGAGCAGTGACTTCATAAAATGACGGACTTGGAAGACAAGGCGCATAAGTGCAGTTGTTGCCAATTCGAGAAATACGTGTTTGAAGTCTCGATATTAAATGGATCTTTATGACGGATAGAAAGTTCAAACTGACTTTTTGATACTTGAAAATTGGAATTTAGGACCGAATTTTTCCCATAATATGCATTAAGTTTAGTTTTACTTGAAATCAGTAATATCTCAATTTTTCAAAAACTGCACTTATGGGCCTTGTCCTCCAAGCCATTCAAGTGTAATCCCATTCAACATTATGTCTAATAGAATTGGACGTATTTTTGTCAAACGGAATCATGTGCATTATGACGTGAGCCCTGTTATGCACGTACTCTAATGGGTCTTAGGGCCCCTGTCTTAATGCACATAGTTCCGTTTGACAGAAATAGTCCAATTGACCCTATATTTGTTCGCGTGTTGCAGTAGTTCGTCGAGTGAAGGCGAGGACGAGAAGGAAAAGGACAAGGAGAGAACAGACTCAGACTCGAAGCAGCCTTCAATGGGCGTGCGACAGATAAGCCAGGACAACGATAAAGAATCGACCATGTGGCTGGGGACTGAGGACGGCTGTATCCTAATTTACAAGTGTATAGAGAGCTGTCGAACGCGGGAAAACTGCGTGGAGATCAAACACGGCTCTGCCGTCTATTCCATAGTGTAAGTGATTTTTAATGACGCATCACGGATATGCCTCAGAAAAAAACCATGAGGGAAAGCTCGAAATCCC